CTCGACGCGCGCGACGCTCCCGCTACGCGGGCCTGGCCGCCCCGGAAACGCACTTCCCACCGGAAGCCGACCGGCGACCGACCATCGAGACGGCAGCTAGAGGGCCCCCGCTTTGCCTCTGGGTCCTCCACGGCGGCCTTAAAGGGGCCGTGGCCGGCGAGTTAGGGTGATACGGAGTGAAACTTGGCTAGAGGGGAAAGCCCTGTGGAGGAAGGAGGAATGTCCTATTTCTTTCCTTCCTTCTTTACTTCTTTCGTTTTTTCTTTTCTCCGGAGGCAGGATTGAACCCGGGGCCTTCGCACTAAACTGCCCCCCCCTCCCAGACAGGGTTTCACCAAGCGGTTTAGTTGTCCAGGCAGGGCTCGAACTTCATGATCCTCCTGCTTCGCCCTCCCGAGTGCTGAGGTCACCTGCGTGTGTCAACATGCCTGGCTTTGCCGTACTGCAGTCAGCGGTTTGGAGTAGAGGAGAGACATTTCCCGCCGTCAGCAGGACTGAAGAAGGGAGCCGGGAAGATGACCTGGGCCTCTGACGGTGGAGGCTTCTACTCCGCGGTCACGCCTGCCCCCTGGTGGTGGCTCTGAGTGGTGCCGCTGGTCACAGGTCGTCAGAGGCGTCCAAACGCTCCTTTGTAGAGGACCTTCCTGCCCTCTGTGACCTGCTGAACAGACTCTAAACGACTGCGTTTCCTTCTTCTGTATTTTTACTTCATTAGGGAAAAAAAGTCGCATTACACCCCGAGTTCAGCACCTGTGGAGAGGCGTGAGAGAAGAGCGCGCGCGCGCACACACACACACACACACACACACACACACACACACACACAAAATATAGCCCCCCACACCCCGTCCTGCACCCTTCTCCAAGGCCAGGCAAACACACCTGCTGTGCCTGTGGCCCCGGGTATAGATTCAACATTTACTTGGTCCTCAAGGCTCCCCATTCGCCTTGTTCTTCTGACGGCCTATGTCATCACTTCTGTCCCCTCTCTGGCCAGCTGGTGACTCACTCACATATTTTCCCTTCAGTGCAGACCATGTCCTTTCAGGCCAGATATGGTGATGGCTTCCTCTTTGGTGTCAGTTCTCTGTCGTTTTTTGTTTGTTTGTTTTGGTTTACAGTGCCTCATTGTATAGCTCAGGCTGGCCTTGAACTCATGGCAATCCTCCTGCCTCAGCCCCTTGAGTGCTGGGATTATATCAGGCTCTCCGTTGTTCTTATCTGATGTGTCCAATGCCACCTGGGGTGATTTATTACACATCATATTTTTCATCTTAATTTTGTGCAGTACTGAGGATGGAACCCAGTGTCTCCCACAAGCTAGACCAGTGCTCTACCACTGAGGTACATCCTTAGCCCTTTTGAAAATTTTACTTTGAGATGGTCTTGCTAAGTGGGCTCGAACTTGGGATCCTCTTGGCTCAGCCTCCTGAATAGCTGGGATTACAGATGTCAGTGGTGCACGGGTCTGCTGTGCATCTCTCAGTGAGCATTTCTGGCCTTGTTGAGTGGGACTATCTCTCTACACACAGGACACTGTGACCATCCTCGGCCTCGTGGGAAGAGGAGCTTTGCCCCCGACCAAGGCAAGGGGGTAGAACCCCAGGGGAATCCCCAGAACTGGGGAGTCCCATGGCTCTTCCTCGGCCAGATTCTTGCTAAGCTGCAGACCCTGCCAGCTTGTCCTGCAGTGCAGCCAGAGAGCCCTTGGGGGAGATCTGGCACCTGTCCCCCAAGGCTGGGGGTGTCCCTGAGCAGAGCCGGTGCACGCTGGCATCTGGAGAGCCCCTCGCCAGAGGTTTATCATCTTTGCAAGGTCAGGAGGTCCCAGTATTATTGATCTAGGAAGAGAAAAAAGTGGTTGCTGTACGGGCAGGATAACAGTCACACAAAGACGTCTACACCCAATCCTCGAAACCCTGGATCACCACTGACATGGGGAAGGGGGTCTGCAGATGTGCTGCTGTCAGAGGCCTTGAGATGAGAGAGGCTCACAGGTCACCCAGGTCCACTCAGTGCCATCACAGGGTCCTTAGATGAGAGGGAGTCAGGGACAGAGATGTGAGGAGGGATGCAGAGAGAGGCAGGGCAGTTTAAAGATGCTGTGTGCTGGTTTGAAGGTGGAGGACAGGCCACGGGCTGAGCAATGCAGATGGTGCTAAATGCTAGAAACTACGTAAAATCCATTTTTACCTGGAGCTTCCTTCCGGAAGGAACCAGCCCTGCCGACACCTTGGTTTGTCACACCCAGCTACAGGGGAGTCCGGCAAATGTAGCTTTTTAGTTGTGTATTTATTCATTGCTGGCCTGGGGATCAGACCCTGAGCCTCCTCATGCTAGGCCAATGCTAAACCACTGAGCTGCACCCCGGCACAAGTGTAGCCTTTTAACTGTGGTGTAGGATGGGCTGTGGGGTTCCCCAGTTCTGGAGAGTATGCATCTGAGTCACCCCCCAAGTGGCTGTAAGGGAGTTTCAGCAGAAGAGCACCCCAAAGCATCCCAAGATGGGGCCATTGTGATCCTAAAGAAAGAAGCCCTCAGTGCCAGCGTGGCCCGTCCCTGGCATTTCCTAGGGCACTGACATGTGGATGGACAGCAGAGAAGCAACACCACCCAGCTGTGCCTCGGCGAAGGTTCAAGAGGTCAAGGTCTCGGAAGGGTTCCTATGCGTTTAACAACCTGGACGATCTTTCATTGTTTCCGTCAACACCGTGTGGGCCCTAACTCAGGTTTAAACCTGCAGGGACATGAACAGCTGGCCAGTCACAGAGTGGTCCAGGAACTCTGGCTTTCTGGGTCAGGACACAGGAATGTAGCTGGGGGACTGGTTTTGTGGGTGTCCCTGTTTCCAGGAAGGGGAGTGGCTGTGGATATGACTGTGTCTCTGTTGCAGATGCACCCCCCGGAGTTTGGAGGGCTGGAGGTCCAGGGCCAGGCCTTGGCAGGGCCCCAGAAGCTGGCCTCAGAAAGGTGATGTGCCTTTGCATGCCTTTCCTTTACGAGCCTCTGAGCTGCTGAGCCCATTCACACCGGGGCAGGGGCTGTGCAGGCCGGGCAGGGCCAGCTGAGTGACAGGACCCTACACCCGCCGGGCAGCGAGGCATTTTTCACAAGCCCTGTGAAGAGGAGCGGCCATCCCCGGGGTGGCCAGACTGCTGCTTGGCAGCCAGCAGAGTGATTTCCGCTCATCTTAATAGAACTCTTATCCCACGTTAGCTGAGTGGCTCAGAGTAGCCCAGGAGGCCTCTGAGTGGCTCTGAGTGTGTTGCTTTTGCTGAGGGGCCAACAAGTCCTGGGTTCTTCAGATATAAAGGGAAGGAAGTGGACATCACCGCTCGTTGTTGAGGTGCCCGGCCTCGTACTCCTTCCTTTTGAGCTCTTGACCTCACTTTCCTTTTGAAGCAGCCCTAGGAACTAGGAATTGCTGTGCCTGGGTTTTACAGGTTCAGAAAAACTCAAATGATTTGCTTGAGGTCACTGCAAACAAGAAACAGTAGGATGTTAAGCTCTTGGCTCCCTGACTGCCGCCATGGTCTGCTGGACCCAATGATGTCCTTAAGGTCACTGCAGAGGCCAAATCTAACTCAGCCATCGCTTCCTGTCCCCTAACCCACATCTCTCCGACCCCTTCTCCCCACCTTCTGGGTTCCTCGGGGTTTTGGCTACCTGGAAAATGGGCCAGTTCCAGGAATGGCTGAGTCCACTTCCTGTCCCTGGGGCTGATATTCTGGGGAGGCCTGGCCCAGCCAGAGTCACATCTGCAGCTGAGAGCAGACGCTTCCTTTGGAAGTATAGACTGCTCAGTTAGGTAGAAATATTACAGGCAGGCGGGCAGGGCTGGGCCCTCGACCAAGTCAGTGTAGAAGACAAGAACACAGCTGTGGCTGTGGCTTCCAGTGGAAGCCAGGCCTCAAGATAAAGATGGCCAGGCCCACGTACTTACCCAGCGGACAAGATAAGGGGTAACACCTGGCCCGAGGAAGTGCAGCCAGATACCGTCACCCCAGTGGGTGACCAAGACCTCCAGATCCATCTTTTCCTGAAAATGCTCTTTGTTCTCTCCGTGTTCACTTCCTTCCCCGTTGGATCACCCTTGCCTAAATGGCTGTACTCATAATAGTCTCGTTGGTTGAACATCACTGTGTCCCACGTGGTGCCCACCTCGTGATTTTGCCTATAAAACTTCCCCTGTGAAGCAGGGGCCCTGACAACCCATTTGGGTCCCCTCCTGTCTCTCTCTGGAGCTGAAATCTCTTCCTGTCGAAAAATATTTCCTACTCTTAACCTCGGTCATTCCTTAGAATCCATTCTTCTATTTTGGGGAACACAAACTCGGCATATCTGACACCTAGCAGGTTGCAAGTTACATTTTTTCCCCTCGTATCATTTAGCGGTCCTATATCAGGACACAGCTGGCAGGGCAACACATGCAGCGACCCCCAAGCCCCCACACTGTGGTCCCACTGGCTCATTACCATTGACGCTGTTTATTTAGTTGGGCACTTTCAGAGGCCTCTGATTACTGTCACTCTCCAAGACAGCCCAGATCCAATTTCCGGAGAACAATGGCCTTCTCATCTGTTGCCCTCAAACTGTGGGTTCATCCTTTTAAAAGATGCCAGAGGAGGAGGGGACATAGAAGGGAGGCTGTCCCGGCCACCCCTTTGAGCCACTTCTAGGAGCTAGTAGGGAAGTTTCGGGAGCCCTGGAGGCTGCAGAACCCTCTGCTAAAGCACAGAGGAGGACGAGGAGGAGGAAGGAGGAGGAGAGGGAGGAGGAGGAAGAGGAGAGAGAGAAGGGGAGGGGAGAGGGGCGCAGGGAGCAGAGGGTGGGCTCCAGCAAATCCAGCTGTTGCCCTGGCTTGGATTGGTTTGTACCTTAAAGGTCCATGTGCTGCAAGCCAAAGTGCCACTGTTAGAAGGTGGAACCCTTTCAGGGGTGGTGCTTGGTGGAAAGTAGGGCACGGATGGCGCTGCCCTTGGCCTTGGAAGGGATTAGTGTGGTTCTCTCGGGACCCTGGTTAGTTCCCACCAGAATGGGTTGTGGCAAGGGAGCCTGGAGTCTCCCCGAGTCGCTCCTCCACCTGCACCTGCTGTCCACTCTCGCGCATGGTCCTGCCATCGATGACGCCCTCCCCAGGGACAAGGGGATGTCAGTGCCGTGCTCCCGAAGCTTCTGAACTGGACTCTTCCTTACGAGGCACCAGCCTCAAGTATCTGTATGGCAGGGGGAAGTGAGTGAGTCCACAGTCCGAAGACCAGGGATCAGCAACCAGCTGGGGGACCAGAGGAGATGCTGAAGCCAGGCACCGCACCTCGGAGACCTGACTTTCTGGGTCTGGGCTGGGGCTTGGGAGTCAGGAAATGTAGAAGCTCCCTGGGTGACTGTGGGGCAGATGAGAAGTGTCCTGGGTGGCCCTGC